GAAAGCAAAACTAGCACTTGATAGCTGCTGGGAGAGGGAGTCAGTCTTCTTTAAGGGTGTAATACTAGGTAGGTTAACCAGACTCCAGTGGACAGACCCACAACAAAAGGCATTTGAGGACACAAATTAGATTTGATAAGTCTTAATATATACATTTATATATGTATGTATATATAATGTATGTATGTATATATAAAATAGAATACATGAAATCGGGTGGAGGTAGTAAGGGGGTACAGATAGGGGAGAGGATGTATGATCAAAATACAGTGCATAAAATTCTGAAAAGTTCTAGCTGGGTGTGGTGGCACACACCTTTAATTCCAGCACTTAGGAGGCAGAGGCAGGCAGATCTCTGTGAGTTTAAGGCCAGCCTGGTCTATATAGTGAGCTCCAGGACATCTGGGGCTACAGGGAAACCCTGTCTCAAAAAGACCAAACCAAACAAAACAAGACAATCTGAAAAATTCAGTAAATTTTTAAACTAGCACTTGAAACTATAATGTTTTATATAATTAAATGTATCCAAGTCTATGCCCTGCATTAACTATAAATACTAACAACATTCAATACTGCCATTTCCAGAGTGTTGAAGTAACAGTGGCTGAGATCTAACAGAGAAAAGTTCTCAATTCCAAAGCCATGCCTTACTTTTCTACATCCTTCAAAGGCCTTAACCACAATTTAAAGAAAAAATATTTATTGAATCAAGCAAGCTGTAAGGTGAAGGGACATTTCAAGAACATGGAACTCTGAGGGACAGTTTGATAGCAAATAACATTGTCAAATGAGAAAGTACTACCTACATAAGGACTTTTTGAAGAGTTAATGCAGGAATATTTGTTCTGGCACATTTGTTTTCTCAAACACCCATACTGGTCTTTCAACTGCATTCCAGGGTTGGTCTCTCTTCTAAAGCATGTTTGAGCCCAACTAGTCATTGGTATTTCAAGTATCAGCATGGGCCTAGCTGACAAATACTAAGTACATACTGTTACTGACTTGAAAATTCCCTCTACAGCACCTGTAAACACAACTTAAAAACCAATGTATGCAAACTAAAACCTTAAGGGTTGTTTTCAATGTGACCATGCTATCTGTAAGTTGAAGTAATGGGTTTTTTTCATTTATTTTTATTTTATGAGTGGTTTGCTTACATGTACATAAGTGCATACAATGCCTGTGAACACCAGAAGGTGTCGGATCCCCCAGAACTGGAGTTTAGGATGATTGTTAGCGGCCATGTGTGTGCTGGACTAAGTCTTCAGCAGGAACAGCCAGCACTACCAATCAGTGAGTCATCTCTCTAGCCCCACATACTTAATATTATACATAAAAAATCTACAAGACTGTTTCTGGCAAAAAGTATGTTCAGAAATTTAACCCAAGAACAAATTTCTTCGTACCAAGGACACTACAACCCTATGACTCTAAGAGCACATTACTCAAAAGGCCTTGCAGGCATAATCCTGAACTGCCAGAAACAGCAATGTGAGTGGATCTGCTCTGCAGAGGGTGCAGTGCTTGGCGCACAGGAGATAACTGTAAGCCCATACAAAGACTATTAACTAATGGGATATATAAGAATTAAAAAAAGGGGTGGGGTGTGAAACAAAAAAAAGTTTCAAGCCTGGAAAAGTAGAGAAAAGTAGAGCCTTTGTCAATCATGCAGTAAATGGAAGATGGTATTTTAAGTCAACATGGTAATCTCAAAAGGCTACTAAAAAGCAGATTTATTTAGGGTCAGGCTTGGAAATGTTACTCTAAGCATCATCTATATATCCAAAGTCTAAACCTGATCCAAAAGTCTAGTAAAAAAAAAAGTACAATTAACAGATAATCTAAAATAATCACCATCAATGGTTCAAGGGCAGGTTAAAAAAAAAAAAAAGCACAATTACCTCAGGAGGAAGGCGATAGAAATTTGATTTTTTAAATATATTTTATTTTATTCATTTATTTATTTATTTATTTTGAGACAGGGTCTCCCTGTAGTCCCAGCTGCCCTGGAACTCACTATATAGACCAGACTGGCCTTGAACTCACAGAGATCCTCCTGCCTCTGCCTCCCAAGTGCTGGGATTAAAGGCCTGTGCGACCACGCCCAGCTTATTTTTAATGTGTATGAGTGTATTACCTGCACGTAGGTAGGTGCACCCATGTTGTGCACTGCCCCTGAAGGGCACAAGAGGGCTTTGGATTCCCCTGAAACTAGAGTTATAGACAGTTGTTAGCCTCCATGTGGGTACTGGGAATCAAACCGGTCCTCTGCAAGAACAGTCACCGCTCTTAACCACTGAGCCCTCAAGCCTTCAGGTGGTAGAAATTTTTAAGAATAACTTTAAATATGTGTGGTCAGCACTAGACTTCTAAACTTGAAGAAATAATAGGTTCATCTCTGAAGATGTCAAGAGTCCAGATCATAGTAGCTGACATACACCCTGTACCAGACTTATGTACTGTACCTGCCATATACTAGCTAAAAATTAACTATATATGTGAATTCACAATTCTCAAAAGTTATCATTATTATACCCTTCTTACAAACTGGAAAAGCAAAGCACAAAGTATCTCAGTAACTTGGCCAAGCTCACACAATCAGGAGAATCTATCCCGAAAAGGGACCACTAAATCTGGTTACATCTCTATCTAGATGAAAGCACGCACAATGCAGTGCTTGGGGAAGAACTCAAACACCAAAATTACCCATCATTTCCTCCTGATCTACCTGCCCTGTGTAGCAATCTGAAAGTATAAGCCCTAAAAAAAATAAAATAAAAATAAAAATGAGGTACACCAAGCTCTCCTCCCCACTGCTTCCCATCTTCCCACTCCACCCTCCTGCTCAACCAACTTGACAAGAAATAGAAAGCAACCATCACATTCTCTCTATAGACATTAGAACTGAGACTTGGGTATGTATGTTTGTTAGGAATGATAGTGTCAAGTCAAGGTGGGTCTGATGTTGGCAACCTGGCAAACCAAACACAGAGACAAAAATCAAGAGGTTCAACAGACAGTCAGAGGAAAGGAACGAACAGGGTATGCAATGAGTAGCAGAGAATTAAAACTACATGTTCTCAGGGAAAAACTTAAAAGAGTAGCTAGCTGCCTCAAGACCTTCTGGTTCCCGGGATGCTGGGATGGAATCATACACAGGACTTCAAAGGCAGTGCTCCAACTGTATGGCAAATGACTTTTCCAGTAAGCTAATTCAACTGGCTGTTTGTTTCTTGCAACCAAGTAATCCTTAAATCATTAAGGAAGATCAAAAAAAACACTTGAGTAAACTGTGACTAATATACAATTGCTAAGTTTTTTCTTTTTGTCATGTCCAGTAAATAATTGATACATTCCAAATACCTTCACTTCAGGAAGTATTTATAAACGAATTTTAATCTGTAAGGATGAGTAAAAAAATAAAAACATCTAGATTTATCCATCTGCTTTTAAAACTGATAAAGCATTTGCCTTTCCCTGTCATGTGACCAGTTTCCAGCCCCTTCCCTCACACCCAAGCTAGGATCAGCTCCTTCCTGTCTCACTTCTCATGTTCTCTAAGTAGCCGATTTTTTACTAATACTCAGGTGACTTCCTAAAAAGAAAAAAAAAAAATCAGTTTACCTAAGTAATTACTTTATTTGAAGTTACTCCAATTACTTTCCAAAGGCAAGACAAAGTAACAATTGACCTAAAAGCTTGAAACCCTTGTCAAATAATTATGAAGGCTAACAAATTTTTTCTCTGTCTCTTTGCCAAGATGGACTGGGAGGGAACCTTTGTTATTTCCTTAGCCCATTCACCTAAGTTTTTCACATTTTCTTCATGTGTGCATAGGATTCCTCTATAGCAGGAAATTTCCTTTTAAATCACCTGTTCCACTACGATTTGGTCTGAGTTCCCCTCCCAAATAATGTCTTTGGAATGCAAAGAAAAATCATTTTTCCACTTCAGTTTCTAGACTCACCCCTGGAGTTCAGAGGCTAGAAAAGGTAGAAAAATCTCACTGTATTTTGGAGCTTAGGCAACTGCAGTATCCTCAACTACTGAGAAAACTCATTGGCTGTAAGTCCCCTTCAATCCCATCAACAGAGCAGTTCCCTGTGACACTAGTCACAGCTCAGCTTATAAATCCACTTCTTCCCCAAATCCCTTACACTCCTTAATCTCTCAAATCAGTCACTGAAAGTTAAAACTGTTAAATTTATTGTCAACCCTTGATTTACAATGACACAAATACTATGATCAAGAAATTACTTGAGAAATGCTAGCATATTTTAAGATGAAATGGCACTATTTGAACAGACACCAATCATGACAGACTCTAGGCTGCCATTTCCTTAAAAAACCATGAAGACATTAAAACAAAATCATCTTGGCATAAATAAACACTCCATCTTTTCTGACTACTCTATTGTCTAAGTATTTTCATACATAACAAAATCGAGTACCAACATAAATAACACTGCTAACAAAGAGGACGCTAAAGAAAACAAGCATTTTATAAGCAACTGAATAATTACAAAGCCAAAATGAAAACTGGACTTACTAACTCCAGTATGCGCTAAGGCCATTAGCTATGTGTGTCAGCTTTACTGCTCACCACGAAATGCCTTAATATCTAAAGCTAAACCATCTCCAATTAATAGGCATTATTTTTTCTTTAAAAGGGCCAGCAGAGTTCGGAAAGAACTGTTACATATTTATATTTAAGAACTGTTTATATCTTACTGTCACTGTCGTTGGGCTACTTTGTCTTTTTGTTTTGTTTTGTTTTGTTTTTAACGCTTGGTTACATCCAGGTTTTTTATTTTATAAAGCAGTTCAGATGCCTATGGAATAATAGAAGCATTCCCAATCCATTCTGAACCAACGTGCCTGGAAGCGAATCTGACAGATGTACAAACAAGAATATTCTGAGGCGCCGCTTGAAGCCTTCAGTTTCTGTCACACGATTTGGGACGCGCCAGGCTCCATGGCTCAGAGGCTGACAGTGAAGGATGCTGTTCGGGGACAAAGTGCAACGTCCTTCTCTTCCTGTGTACGCTCCTGTGCGCGCACCCCGAACACACGAAGCACACCCACCGTCACGCACCGAGTGGCCCCGGCTCCAGACCCCCGAGAACTACAGCCCAGCCGCCACCGTCGGGTCCCCGGGGCCCCCGTCCCCTCTGGGTTGCGGCCTGGACTTCCTCCCCCTTCCCGCTTCTCCAGTTCCGTACCGGCCCGAAGCAGGAGGACAGACCACGAACCGAGGAGTTGGGACCACCCAGCCGGGCCAAGCCGCTCCATCCTCCCGACCCACACCCCCCCGCCACCCGGGCCCCCGCGCTGGTCACGCCACAGGCGAGTCCGTTCTCACCCGGCTCACCTGGCGGCCGCAGGCTCCGCAGGTTCGGGGCATGTCACCCGCCCGTCACCGGCCCGCAGCCACCGGTGGCGCGAGCCGCAGGCAGGCGCAGCGGGCACCCCTCCCTCGTCCTCACCCTCCCTGCCCGGCCCGAGGCCCGCCCCCTCGGTTTCCGCCGCCTGAGCTCCTGCCCGCGCCGCCGCCTCCTCACACCTCCCACTCACTCTCGCGAGATACGCGCGTCTCTCGCGAGATCCACCCTGAGACCAAGCCCGCGCAAAAGAGGGTGGGCTCTTAAAAAGGGGAGAGAACGGGAAAAAAACCCTTTCCACGTGCTCCAGAGGGCAACGCTGATCCCGTGATACCGAGGCGGCCTTCCCATTGGTCAGATGCCCCTCAGCCGGGGGCACTTTGAACTCGAAGCTGACCTACGAACCAGCTGCGCGCTTCCTGGTCTGTTGCCTTGGAAACGGTTTAACCCTTTCCCCAAGCGAGACACCCAAGTTGTGGCTTCCTCGGCAGGTTTGGTTTCAGACCCTCCCTCCCATTCTCCCACCCTTAGGCTGACCGGCTGGGGTAACGAGGCTACGGCTTTCCCCAGGGTAGCTGCTTTCTCTTCCTCAGCCCGGGGCCCTTCCCTCAGCTGCAGCCCCCCCCCTTTACCCAGCGGTCCGCCGAGCCCATCTTCCCGCGTAGCTCCGCCCCTTTTCCCCAGCATCTCTTGGAAGGACCGCTGAGAGCGCACCAGGCCCTGCTGGAGCGTCAGTAGTCCGTAGGTCCAAGGACCCGCAGGGTACTAGCACCATGCTGGTGTCCGATGTGGCGTTGAAATTGGAAGTAAGGCTTTAATCACGAATAAGCCAAGCCTCGGATGATAATCTATGAGAAAGATATTTTTAGCTATATAACTTTATTATGATTTATATATTGCCGTGTCCGGGAGAGTGATGGAAAAGATAAACGTTTTTATATGTGTTCTCTTCAGATTTTGGTTGTGTTCCGCATATCCCGGGAGAGTGATAGAAAAGATAAACATTCACATATCCGTTCTCTTCAACAGATTTTGGTCGCGTAATATCTGTAGGTGTTAAGCAATATGTAAATTATAATCCAATGGTGGTTATAATTGGGCGGCTACTTGGGGAGGTACCTTTTGGAGGAGGAGAGATTCAAGCAGGATTTGGGTAACCATCTTGCAAAAATAGGAGAAAAGAGCATCTCTAACCAAACTAATTCACAGGCCCTAAATTGTGGGCCTAATCTAGAGTAAATATTTCAGGGGAGGGATGAAAAGATGACAGGAAATTAACTAGAGCCCCTAGAACTTTGTTAACCAAGGAAGGAATTGGGAATTTATTCTAAATGCTGTGGGAAGCATTGAAGAGTTCTAAAAAGAGAAAGGCCTATAGTTTACTTTTTTTTTTTTTTTTTTTTCCAAGACAGGGTCTCCCTGTACCCCCAGCTGACCTGGAACTCAATGTGAAACCAGGTTGGCCTTGAGTTCACAGACATCCGCCTACCTCTGCCTCCCAAGTGCTGGAATTAAAGGCGTGCGCCATCAAGCCCGGTTAACATACTTTTTAAAAAGTAATCTTGCAGATAATGAGTTTTAAGGATGCCAGAGCAGAAGCACCGAATAGTCTTGTTCTGGTGAGAGACAAGCTGACCTGGAACTCAATGTGAAACCAGGTTGGCCTTGAGTTCACAGACATCCGCCTACCTCTGCCTCCCAAGTGCTGGAATTAAAGGCGTGCGCCATCAAGCCCGGTTAACATACTTTTTAAAAAGTAATCTTGCAGATAATGAGTTTTAAGGATGCCAGAGCAGAAGCACCGAATAGTCTTGTTCTGGTGAGAGACAGTTTTGAAAGACTTGATTTCCAGTGACCTTGGCATTCTCTAAAATCCATTAAGTCAGATCCTAGAGCAGCCTGCTGCCATCTGTTTAAAATATTGCAGATTTCTCCCATTTATTCCCTACTACTTGACAAGAAGAAAGTTTGGCTCACCTTTGGTATTCTTTCTTCCATTTATACTACACAGACAACCACATCTTTATAAAAGTCAGTTGTAAGAAAAATGGAGCACAATATTGTCGATATTTTCTTAAAGTAAGATTTGAAAAGATAGAGGCTGATAGCTGGAAAATACAGTTTAGCACAAAGAAACAAAAATCAGAAGGACTTTAGTGTGAAACCTTCTCATTAGCTAGTGACATAACCAAACCCAAGTTCTTTATCATCCTGTGCTTCAGCTTCCTCAAAGATAAACCAAAGCAATTTAGTCTACACACAAGGTGGTTAAGCCTGAAATACATTGACAGGGGAAGCTAAAGAGAGAAGTAAAACGAACCTTTATGAAAAACACAAGAGACAGCAGCACAAGCCAAATGAAATTGGGTTTGCACACAGCAGCTGAGGAACTATGAACTGACTGAGACAGATACCAGGGATGCTTTCCTAGGAAATACTTGACCTCAGAGTGAAAGGGGAAGTACTGTCACCTGCCCCCCTCATACTGTCTTTCTCTGGAGCTATTTTGAATCTATGTAATATCTACTAAATAATGATTCACTAAATGGAAAATAGGTTTTTAGAAGGTCTGAGGCAGTATCGTAAAGTTAAAAACCTTAGTTTTAATGAAAAGATTTAATACTAGCTATTTAAAGGAAAAATGTCAGCATGAAATAGTATTTTTACAAATAGGAGCATTTTTGCCAGGCATGGTGGTGCACTCCTTTAGTCCCAGCACTTGGGAGGCAGAAGCAGGAGGATCTCTGTGAGTTCAAGGCCAGCCTGGTCTCCGAAGTGAGTTCCAGGCCAGGTGGGGCTACAGGGAGACCCTTGTCTCAATAAGACCAAAAATAAAAATTAAAAAAAGACCATTTTAAAGGCTAAGTTAGTACTTTTTGGAACATTTACAGTTCTGATAATGATTAACAGAAACAGCTGCTAGGTTTGCTAATTTAGATGAACAGAGGGCTCAGCTCTATCATTCTAACATATTAATAGTACCATAAATGATCCCAGTGTACTCCTGCAAGGAACTCATTGAGGCCTCTTGTGCTAGCTATTTGAAGTATAGTAGCTAGAAAGTGAGATGAAATTTAAGATCTAGTTCTTAGATGCTTTCAAAAAGTCTTTCTTGGAGCTGGAGAGATGGCTCAGCAGTTAACAGAATTTGCTGATTTTCTGAAAAGACCAAGTTCAGTTCCCAGCACCCACATCTGGTGGTTCACAATCACCTGTAACTCCAGCTCCAGAGACTCCAATGCCCTCTTCTGGCCTTCACAAGCACCTGTACCCACACACAGACACACAAACATATACACTTAAATAAATCTTTTTCTTAAGGTCCTTTCCATGGGGCTGGAGAGATGGCTCAGCAGTAAGGAGCACTGGCTGCTCTTGCAGAGGACCGGGTTCAATTCACAACACTCACATGGCAGCTAACAACCATCTGTAACTCCAGTTCCAGAGGATCTGACGCCCTCTTCTGACTTCTACAGACATTAGTTGCAGTTACACACATATAGGCAATACTCATATACATAAAATAAAGAAAATATTGAAGTCCTGTCCTTTGTAGGTTTTCTATCCTATAACATACCATCCAGTTCCATGTTTTTTGTTTATTCAGTCATGCAGCCATCACCATAACCTAATTTTCAGAGTTTTGTATCCCCATCTCATCCTCAGCCCTAAATAATCACTTTGTCTACTTTCTGTTTCTATAAACTTGCCTCACCAGGACATTTGAGATGAATGGAATCAATATGTGGCCTTTCATGTCTCACTTTGTTTATTTAGCACACGGTTTATAAGGGTTACTCGTTGTGTGGCATGCATCAATACTTCATTTCTTTTCACTACCAGATCATGATTCTATTTTATGCAGATAGTGTATTTTATTGATCATTTTATTAGTTGATAGTCATTTGGTTGTTTTCACTTTGGGACTATTACAAATAATGTTTTATTCAACATTTCTGTATACATTTTGTGGTGATATTTGCTTATTCTTTTGAATTTTTCAAAATTATTTAATATCCACATACTTAGAAGAAGCATTTCATTACAACAGCATTGACATATTCAATACCAATTTCCAGAGCTAAGATGCATCTCTTTCAAAATTGGCTGTAAATTTTTAGGTTTATAGTTGAATTAATACAGTTATACAATATTGTACTCAGTATAATCTCTGTAAGACAAAATTTAAATGACTTTTTAAGCTTTAAAAATCATCTCCATTTCATTATTAAAATACACAGTTTCCTACAGAAAAATTCATTTTTAATGCAATTAACACTAAGATGTTTGCACATGCATTTCTAATCTCTATATATCTGATTATTACTAGTCACAGTTGGTTACTGATCTGAGCTTCTAGGCATCTGAGCATGGATATAAAGTCATCAGGTAGATTTCAATGGTAATGTTTTTCACATCTACTAATTATTGAACAAATTTTTATGCTTTGAAGAATTTTTTAAATTTTTTTTCTTTTTAAAAATTTTTTTAAATTTAATAACCACATGATTAGAAGAAGCATTTCATTACAACAGCATTGACATATTCAATACCAATTTCCAGAGCTAAGATGCATCTCTTTCAAAATTGGCTGTAAATTTTTAGGTTCACAGTTGAATTAATAGTTATGCAATATTGAACTCAGTATAAACCCTGTAAGATATAAAATTGAATGAGTTTTTACCCTTTAAAGAAGGGTAAAAAATGATCTCCATTTAATTTTAAAATATGCTGTTTACTACATTTTTTTAATATTATTTTTTTTTTAGAAGAAGCGTATCATTACAGCTTTACTATGCTCAATAACAGTTTCCAGAGCAAAGATACAGC